GTGGGCTGCCACCTTCTGGCTGTCAGACACCAGCAGCTGACCGCACTCCTTGTCCCGGCTGGTTCTGCAGAAGGAACATTTGGGCAGCCGCGCTGCAGCTCCTTTTCTCTGTGCCGACATGACGACAGGCTCTTCTGAGTCTGAGAATTCAAATGAAAACAGAGAAGACCTGTTTACTGATGCACCTTTCTTTAGTTCAGCTCACAAACAGAACTGGGGTCAGATTTAAACTAAATTTAACTGCTTGACCATGCTGTCTTTCTATGTCAGCAGCCAGGCTGTTAGGATGTTCATTTCGTCATTTAAGAGAACATCTTTATTTTCCCTACAACCAAAATAAACATTTATAAAATAATAAAATGAAAACCCCGTGGAAAGAAGCCACCAGAACCAGTTTTCCCGAAACAGCTGGAAACTAAAGTCTGGCTCCACCGCCATGGCTTCCAACTCAACAGAGCAGCGCTGTGTGTGCTGACAGGTAACTCTGCCGGGGCCCACTCCAGCACTGCGGACCACCTCTACATGCAACACACACACACACACACACACACACACCGCGTTTTCTGACTGACGCATTTTCAGTCAGACCACAACTACTACAGTAGGCAGGAGCAAAGAGCTGTCAAAAGACACTAGAGACAAAACCGTGGACCTCCACAAGGCTGGAAAGGACTATGGGGCGATTGCCAAGCAGCTTGGTGAAAATAAACTGCTGGAACAACTGGTGGAAAATGTGTGAGGCTCCCTCAGACGGGGGCTCCATGCGAGATCTCACCTGGTGGGGTATCGGTGATGATAAGAAAGGTGAGGAATCAGCCCAGAACGACACGGGAGGAGCTAGTCAATGACATGAAGGTTCCCCTGCTCAAGTCATCACGGGTCCATCTGAAGTTTGCCAATGACCATCTGGATTATAGAACGTTGTGCTCAGAAGAGACCAAAATAAAACGTTTTATCTGAACTCTACTCGCCATGTTTGGAGGAAAAAGGAAGAGGACTTGCATCCCAAGAACAACATCTCTACTGTGAAGCATGGGGGTGGAAACATCGTGATTTGGGGCGCTTTACTGCCAAGGGGACAGGACAACTGCACTGGATTAAGGAGAGGATGAATGGGGCCATGGGCAACAAGTTCCTTCCCTCACTCAAAGCATTGAAGATGGGTCGTGGCTGGGTCTTCCAACATGATGAGGAAATCTTTGGAGGAAGTTGAAACTCCTTGTTGCTCAGCGACAGCCCCGAAACCTGACAGATTTAGAGATCTGTGTGGAGGAGTGGGCCAAAATCCCTGTTGCAGTGTGTGCGCACCTGCTCATGAACTACTGGAAACCTTTGACCACTTTAATTACAAACAAAAGCTTCTGTACCAGATCTTCTCGGGTGTTTAAAAACGTATGTGCAGCAATGCATTACAAATGAAATCTTCAACACATCACACAATGCGACTTCCTGATTGGAAATGCACCTACAATGTGAATTTTAGCCTCACTTTGGTCAGTGAGCCCCAGGGCAGCTGTGGCTATACTGTAGTTTATCGCCACTGGTGTGTGTGTGTGTGGGTGGGTGAATGACTGATTGGGTTGTAAAGCACCTTGGGCGGTTGTAGGACTCTGGAAAATGCTATATCAAATCCAGGCACTTTACCATACTATTACTGTTCAGAATAAACCAAAGATTAAGCATTTAATACTACATTTACACATCAGTACTGTTAGAAGTGATGGTATAGAGTTGTAAATCTCTTTAAAAGTAGGCTAAAGTGAAAACCAGGGTTTGAGTTAAGCACTGATGGTTACAGAAAAGAGGGGTGTGCTCTGAGGAGATTCGTGACAACATAGAAAGATCTGCACAAGTGGGATTGTGACCCTGGTGAAGCTGGTCTGATGCAATATACTTCTCATGCCAAAGCCACGGCAGAAAAACATAAAAACCCACAAGTGGCTTTCCTACAGGTGATGCAACATGTTTTCTCTTTTTCACATGAGCTACCGCCTCCACCATGAATACTATAATCATAAAATCCTGCTGAAATATGAAGCAGGATCATTTAAACACTTTTAAATCATGAGCCTTCAGTGGAACAAGCCAGCAGATGGATCTGCACTTCCCACCAGACTCGTTTGCTGAGGATTAAAACTACTGAATCCTTCCTTAAATGAAAGTGAGAGCATTTTAAAAAGCAACACAATAAAGGAGCGTATCGCGACGCCTTGGTTGAGCCACTACAGCCATGCTAGCAGGGCCGGGATCTCGCTGCGGCGGCGGCGGCAGCAGAAGCGGGGCTCGGCGGGCACACATCCCCATCCTCCCCCTGTAAACAACACCAAACACCCTTCGTTCCTGCTCGGGCTCCTCTCACAAACACTTTCATGTTTCCTACACGGCTTTGTGGGGTGGCAGGTGTGAGACGACAACAAGGAAAATCGTTAACAAAAGTGCTCCAATTTTCCCCCAGAAAGTTTTGAATTAAAGGGGGTGTGTGTCTCCTCCAGCAAACTAACTGGAAACTATTTTCACTCTGAGCATCCCAACGCCACCGAATGTTTCTCACAAGGCCTTAATGTGCAGGAAAATAAAGGTCGGTGGGAGGAAAATGTGACTGTTGGACAACGGGTTTATCTGGAAACAGAACTGCGATTATTTCCCTTTAAATGTGGGAAATTACGAAGCCAGGCGCGGGTGTTTGCGAGCCGTTTCGAAGCAAAGCGCCATACGTGATGTATGTGTGTGAAAAGCGAGCAGCTCGGTGTGTGCGACAGAGAAAACGGCCCGAGCCGCCACCAGGCCAGCTAAACGCACTCAGAGCGGCCACGCAGCTCGATTCTTACCTCTTATTTTTTTTTCTTATGGCGCTGAATTAGTGCAACGGACAGAAAAATTTTCCGGACCACGGCTACGTGCTTCGTTCCGTCCTTCAGAAACGATTCTTAGGTTTTCGCTGCGCGAGCACTAAGCTAGCCACTTCCGAACACAACCAGACTTCCGGGTGGGACTTTCACAATAAAATTCAACTTAGCTGATTAAGGCATTTCTGCGTGGTTAAAAAACAGCCACGATTTAACACTCGATCTTGGATTTTTCTACATTATAAATGCATATAGAGAGTTTTTTTTAACAAAAAAAAAGCTGGTTCAGAATTTATGAAATACTCACAAAATAATTTGCAATGAATCATAAAATGTTTTAGGAGGAGCAATGTGGTTTTCGTCCTGGCTGTGGAACACTGGATGACCAGCCTTGAGGAGGTCCTGAAGGGTGCTTGGGAGTTCACCCAACCAATCTACAATGTGATTTGTAGATCTGGAGTAGGCGTTCGACCAAGTCTCTCGGGAGGCCCTTTAGGGGATACTCGGGAGTGTGGGGTACCAGGTCCTCTGATACAGGCTGTTAGGTTCCTATGACCACATTGCCAGCAGAAAGTCTGGCTCATTTCCAGTGAGTGTTGGACTCCACCAAGGCTGCCCTTTGTCACCAATTCTGTTCCTAACTTTTATGGACAGGATTTCTAGGTGCAGCCAAGGTGTTGAGGTGATTGGTTTTGGTGGCCTAAGGATTGAATCTGCTTTTTGCAGATTATGTGGTCCTGTTGGCTTCATCAGAACGTGATCTCTGGCTTTCACTGGAGCGGTTTGCAGCAGAGTGTGAAGCAGCTGGGATGAGAATCAGCTTCTCAAAATCTGAGACCATGGTCTTGAGTCCAAAAATGGCAGAATGCATTCTCTGGGTCAGGGATGAGGTCCTGCCCAAAGTGGAGGAGTTTAGGGTCTTGTTCACGAGTGAGGGAAAGATGGAGCGAGAAATCGACAGGCGGATTGGTGCTGCATCTGCAGTGATGTGGGCGTTGTACTGATCTGTCATGGGGAAAAGAGAGTTGAGCCAGAAGGCAAAGCTCTCAATTTACAGGTCAGTCTATGTTCCAACCCTCACCTATGGTCACGGGCTTGGGTAGTGACCAAGAGAACAAGATCACGGATACAAGTGGCCAAAATATGTTTTCTCTGCAAGGTGGCTGGGCTCTTCCATAGAGATAGGGTGAGAAATGTGGTCATCCGGGAGGGGCTCAGAGTAGATCCACTGCTCCTCCAGGAACTATGTCTCTCGGCTGGCCAGGGGACTCCTGCAAGCTTTTTTATGTCAAGTGCCAACTTATTTTCCCATAATGAGTGTTTCCCCCTATTAAATTCTTGACCAGGGAAAAACAACCTAAAAAAACTCTTAAAGAGATCCTAGAATTAAAAACCACACTAACCACACTAATGTAGCATACCAAACAGCCTACTCTGGCCTGCTTTCCTATGTAGTGCCATGTCCCCATTCCAACAGCCTTAATTAGTCTGACTCGACTGGGTTTGGTCCAGTTGGACAGTCTTTTCCAAAGTCTGTGTATTCCCCCAACTTTCCTGCTTTGCCATGGTTCCTAACGTGCTGAGCCATTCTCAAAACATGAAGGGAAGGCAGTGTTTGGTTGCTCCAGAGCTTTCTGCCTGATCCTGTGCCGTCTGCAGCCGCTTCTGGGTGCAGAGTCTGACAAAAAGCCAGTGTGTGAGAAGATGGGAAAGTCCAACATCACCACCTTTGTTGTGCTGTGCTATGCTTTTGTGTAACGTTCAGATTACCCCATGCTTATGGGTGCCCCACCCCCCTCACGTATGGAAAAACAACTGAGCTGAGTTGAGTTTAGCTGAGCTGAGCCATGTTCAGAATCATAAGTAATGATAATGGCTGCTGATCAGCAGGTTGTTTGGAGAAAAGTTGGTTTAACACATCACAACACCTTACATTAGCCTGTCCCAAGCCACTTCAGCACCAGCAAGATATAAGCATTGGTCATGGTAAAGCTAACTAAAGAATGCTAGCCTGAAGTACAGCTAACATCTTTGGATGTTGGATGAGAGAAAAACAACAAAAATGAATGTTGGAGCACCACTCACAGTCTAGGATGTACTGGGAATGTTCAGTACGTACACACACACACACACACACACACACACACACACACACACACACACACACACACACACACACACACACACACACGCACAAAATAGCTCAACTCCACCTGAATCAGGAAGTACAAATCAGCTGGAGGAAAAAGTAGCTTCAGACTGCAGGTTTTGGACTCTTATTTCCAGGTATTTGGACATCTTGCTAACAGCAACGAGACTCTACCACTGACTCATTTTATCTTCACAAATAAAACAAGCTCGGAGGAGTTCTGCTGTGTGGTGGAGTTGATAATGCTAACAGTTACCTTCTACTAGCCAAGATGTTTTCTGCTGTTTCCTACTAAACCAACAACAGACTTCCCTGTTGTGAGTCAAGATGGGTAAGTCCATATTTTAAAAGACTGACTTATCCAACTCTACATCTGTCTATGTCCTCAAATGCTTGAGCACAGGTGGTGACTGACATCTGTTATGTAAACTCTAACGGTAATGCTGAACGACGGTGGTCAGGTCAAGTTGCATGGGGCTCTACGGGATAGGGGAGCGGGCTTAGCAAAAAAAAAAGTCATTTTGTGTCATTTTCAATCTAATACATGTTTATGTTCAGTACAATATGTACTTTAATTTTTCAGTTCTCCTGTCATTCTGTAAATTATTGGAATGTTAAACGTCAACTTAATGAACATGCTATAAACCATTGAATAAAAATTGGAGTCACAAGTAAAAACTCTAACTAATACTCATTTTCTGTTTTTTAAATGTAAATTAAAGGGCCGAAGGCGTCATTAATAAACGTGTTTCTCGTATTCCGCTCGGTCTTTTTCTCATGAAAGTGGGTGCACTTGATTCTCTTTGCAGGACACTCCGTAGGTGGGACTTCTATTGAAGTTACTCATAATTCTCTGCTCTTATCATCCAGACGAAATGACGCGGACCCTGAAACGTTCGTTCTTTTAGCAGGAGGGGGCGTTTCCGCAAGAAGCGGGTTCGGACACGCTGATTGGCTGAAGCTCCCGACTGTCACTTTGCGCACCACCCGCCCGCCCAGTGTCCCCGGGAAGAAGAGAGGACGGCTGTTTCGGTAGAAAAGAACAGGGAAATGAAGTTGGACAGGCTAGCCCGAGTCTCTCTTGAACTAGACGACTTGTAAATTCGGTGACAGCTGTAGTAGAAAAGACGTTTACACCGCTATGATAGTCGTCAGTTAGTAAATGTTGGGCAGCCACAGGTCTACGATAACGTTACTTACTTTGTAGAGTAGCGGCACAGGGTGATAAAGAAAGTGGAGACAACTTGCTATCCTGCTAACTAACCTCAACCACCGGACGTCTGTTGGTTTCTGAGCGTCATTTCCCTCGGTGAGTGTTGACAGTTTAAAACAGTTTGTCTTCATTTGCTCCGTGTTTGTGTTAACGGGCCTCAACTTTTCTAACGTGGAGCTGTCATTAGTTTTCGCTGCTGCTAACTAGGTCACACGTTTGACATTTTACAGGGTATCCGCGGGTCCTTAAAAAGTCTTAAAAAGTCTTAAATTTACTTTTCCAAATTTAAGGCCTTGAAAATCCTTAAAAATGACAAATAATCCTTAAATCCAGTTTCCAAAGGTCTTAAATTACCAAAGACCCAATAAACAAGATTATTTTATTTCTATAAAACTTTTCGTGAATTTCTAGTTGGTGTTCAGCATTTTTTGTGTATGATGTTGGCATAGGCGGAACCGTACACATTCAGTTGGTTGTGAAAGGGGGCTGTTTTTAGATGAGCACATTAGCTGGTTAAGCTAGTGGGAGCTTGCGCCATGGGAAGTGCAAGTTTAATGGTAACTGGATGGCTAATCCCACGTTCACGACGTGGTTAGCACCGGTTCCAGGCAATAGCTGGAAATTATAGCTTAAATTTATTTTTAAAAATGGCTTAAATTTGGTCAAAGTGGCCTTAAAGAAGGTCTTAAAAAGTCTTAAATTTGGCTCCCTTAAACCTGCAGATACCCTGTTTTAGCCTGCTGTTCTCTCCGTTTCGCCCTTCCTCATGTCGCTGTGGAAGTTAGCATTTTTCACACCTGAGCTATCTTGGTTACGACCTAATGCCGTTCAAACGAACCGTTTCAGCCTTAAAGAAAGCACGTTTTTATTTTTCTAAAGTGGCTAACTTGGTATAATCAAGTAAACCGCTCGCTTGCTGAGCTGTTGTGATATCGATGTTTTTGCTCAACTTTAGCTAGGATGAGTTGTAGCTGTCTGTAGCCATGGCCGGATTATGAAACACCGGGCCCCCTGGGCTCCGACGTGCAGAAGGGCCCCCAGCTGACAGGAGGGGCTGAGAGAGGAACCAGCCCTAACGATTTGTTTTAGCTCTGCTGTCATCCTTAACATGCCTCACTTTTTGTCTATTTTTTTGTCTATCAATTAATTCTGGCCTATTTGGCTTTGACCATCTCATTGTCTGTTCATGTGTCTTTGCTTAATTTAAGTCCGGGTTTTGTGTTAAATAATTATTTTGCAGTCTGTCTTTTTTGGGGTAATTTTAGTTCAACTGTTGCACAAGATTCTGTCAATTTTTAGTTCCCCACTTCTTCCCCCTTTTTTCTTATGTCTCATCCTAATCATGGTTTATTTAAAAGCATATTTATAGATAAATGGTTTTTTTTTAAAGAAAAGTTTGAATTTGAAGTTTTTGAATTTCCTTAGCTCTGCATGTGCCTTTATGAGATTTAGTGATTTATTTTAGGTATCAAAGGATCGTAAAACAGACTGCTTTGCAAACATGCTCTTTTTTTAATCGTGCCTTTTAAAAAGACACACATTTCCTCCTGACGGCCAAACTCGTGTATATTTTGGGATGTTTTAAAAGGTCAGCTCAGGTAAAGACGGCAGAGCAGGGGCAAATCACAGCAGCACCATAGGACAATCATCAGATAAAGATTTCTTCATTGTCTTAAGTGTTATGGTTTCTTGGAACTGTAACTGAAGTTTGCCATAACACAGGGAGTAAATTACTTATTAACATATATCAACTGTTCATAAAGCATTAACATTGGAAGTTGCTGGAAAATATGAAGTATTCATCTTTGAAAGTGCTTAAAAATGATCCAAATTGGATTTTGGCAAAGGGTTAAGAACCTTACACGCTCTGTGGCAACGCATCCGGTACAGTTTTTCTTTTCAGTTCTATTCCTAAACATTGACGCTCCTGGAAAAAATACATTCAGGGTTTTTCCTGGCTCAAATTGAGGCAGAGGTGGTACCATCCTGACCATGCGCCAGCACATGCATGCTCTGTGCATTCAACTGCCTCACTTTTTTAAAGGCCAAATATTTTTTCGTTAAGTGTTTTAATCTAAGCTTCTGTTGATTAATAGAATATTCCATTTGACAACGTTTCAAGTGAAACAAAACTGGTTTGCTGCTAAAAAATATGAAATAAAACAACAAAATGATCAGGCTGAAATAACACTCATATTATAAAAAGCTCAATAATATGCATTAAATTGGTGTTTAGTTCCCAAATATTTTTAAAATTTGACCTACATCTAGGGATGGGTACCTTTGACATTTGAATCGATTCGGTACTAATTCCTGGTACCTAGGAATCGATACCGGTACTTAACGGTACCAGTTTTAGATACTTTTGAGTGTTTAATATTTGAATTCTCTTTTATAATTAAATATATATTTTTCTCAATTTATAACCATATTTGATAAATATCACAATTAATAACAAACAACTGTTTGTATTTTAACATCGTCCTTGTAGTTTTATAAGCTGATAATTAAACTGAAGCAAACATCTTTACTGTGAACTAAATTTACTGTGTATCTTCAATCCTTTTGCCGTCCTTTTCATTTGATTTTTCCTACTGGGAAGTTAGAATTTCCGAGGAGAAAGCGAACGCACCATTAGCTGATAACGGTGGCAATGAAAGCTAACATACCAAGCTAACGTTATCTTAAACAGTTTATTTAGCTGCTGGAGCAGATTAAAACGATGATGCCTCACACTTAGATCGTTGTCGCTGGTTTCATCTTCACCCAATCACCCGTCGCATTTAGTAAAGTGAAGCAAAACTTTAGAGCGCGTTCATGTTCTTCTAGTCGGAAATTCGGAGTTCCGGGGAGAAAGCGAACGCACCATTAGCGAAACAGAAGCTAACATATCGAGCTAACATTATCTTAAACATTTTATTTACCTACCGGAGCAGATTAAGATGAGGATGTCTCACTTAGATCGTTGTCGCTGGTTTCATCATCATCCAGTTACCCATCACATTTAGTGAAGTGGACCCAAGCTTTAGCGTGCGTTCTTTCTACCATGCTGCTCTGTTTACAACTCACTCGCAGCGACCAACGACATAACGCTCTTGCGCACGCGCAGCTGTCTAGGCAAGTTCTCGTTATGAAGGACGGGTACCGAAACGAGGCACCGTTTCAAATGACGTGAATCGGTGCTCGGTCGGTTCTATGGAATTCGGTCGGTACCTTAAAAAGTACCGAATTCGGTACCCATCGCTACCTACATCTCAGAAACATTTTAGGTTTGTATTAATTACACTCGTCTTAGCCAAAATAACACATAAATATATCCAGTAAAATATAATGCATTTCATTAACATGCATTTGTATTGGAAATGGTAATAACATTTAATTTCTGCTGCTAACTATGTAATGGTGGCATGTCTATTATGTACGGGTTGGCAATAATCCAGTTTAAATTATGTTCAAAGATAGAAGCATTTGTTGATTATATACTACAACGGCTTGTCATACTTACTGCTCCTGTGTGTGGAGACACAGACTTGTAGCAGTAATGTGACTCGTCTCTGCAGCGGTTCTGATCCGTAGCGCTGCAGGATGCAAAATAAACAGGATGGTGGGGACTTTTCATCCGCTTGTAGAGTTTAGTCTTTCATAGTTTTACGATCATCATATAGTTTTCTGTGCGCCACTTGATCGTGAGACTGGTACCCGTTAGCTTTAGCATTAGCCAATCTGCATGTCACTGCATGAGACACTTTTGATCCCAAACTTTGGACCGGTTCTGCCTTTGTGCCTTTGCTGGTTCCTGTACTTTCCTCCACTGCATCCAGATGACCACACTATGCACCAGTAAAAAGCATTTTTCTTACATGTAACTTACTTTTGTTCAATAAAGTTCTGGGGAAAGATGTTGCACCAGTGCTACAATTAAAAATATACAGACACACGCCTACAGTACCATAGAGCTCCGGACGTCACGTGACTCTCAGAGAGTAGACGCCATGTTGGCAGGCAACAAATGTAAACAGAAGGAGGTTACTTCACACTTTAAAACCGAAAAAATCGTTTTATATAGTCAGAAATTAAATAGACTAAACTTCTCCGACCCTTACCGTGCCCCTGGGATACTTTTTAAAAACGCCAGAAGCTGTCGGAGCGGACTTCTAACCGGACCTGGCCGGGGAACGCCTTGGGATTTCCCCGGAGGAGCTGGCCCAAGTAGCTGGGGAGAGGGAAGTCTTGGCCTCTCGACGCTACTGCCCCCGCAACCCGACTCCGGGTAAGCGGATGAAAATGGATGGATGGACAAATAACATAGTTTAAATAGAGTGCTGTGCTGTTTGAATGTATAAGCTGAACTCCAAGAGAAATCACTAGTCTGATTTTTTTCTGTGAATAAAATAGGGTTGTCACGGTAACCGGAGTAGCGGTAAACCCTGGTAAAAAAAAGTTGACGATAATAATAACCGTCATGTTTAAAAAAAAACTATATTATCTCGGTGGATTACCGTGGCTGCAGTGTAGGCGCGTGACCCTTACCAGCCACCGTATCATCTGCTGAAGTTGCCGGCGGCACATGCGCACTTTGTTGTTTACAACCAAAACTTTCTTGAAGCTAAAGCTGAAATAATGGTCAAAGGAGGAGACGGCAGTGCTCAGGAGGACATTTATTATCCCTCAAAGAAGACAAAGTGGGAAGTACGGGCATCTTTTGGATATTTGAAGAATGCCGAGGGTCAGTTGATAGAAGACGGCTATCCTGTTTGCAGCACGTGCAGAAAAAGTGTCTGTGAGAGGCAGCAACGCTTCAAATCTCATGACACATCTGCGTGACCATCACCCACAACTCTACAGTCAATGCAAGGCAAGCTAACGTTAGCGCTTTAGCTAAAATGCGTGATCCGAGGATTTGGGTTGAGGGAGAATGCAACGAGTCGCTATATAAAGCAGCCGCAGCAAGAACAACAAAAACCTATTAGGGGTGATGACAGTGTTCTGGAATATTTTCAGATGCTTCCATGTTTAGTGTTCTGAGTGTGAATTTGTCTCATAATAATTCTTAAAAATATATGATGATCTCTAATCATTTTTTGTCAGGCATATTTTTTCTTTTCTCTGAGCAGAGACCGTCTAAACCTCATGGTAGAAAATGGTTTGCATTTTGCAAAAAAAACATTTTGATGAGTTTATTTAGATTGTTGTGGTTGTTACCTTTTTCACACCCTCCCGAGTTTGCAGGTATGTATAATGTAGACAATATGTCAACATTGTTTTTTCTCCTGAGCCTCATGCAGTATGCCCTGACTGTCACTTAACATTAGCCAATAGCACGCGACATCCACTTGCAGACTTAACAGAACACGTGTTTGTTTTTGTTTTTTTGCTCAAGGTCTGATTTTGAGTATCTGTCGATACCGAGTCCCAATCCGATACTTTTTCAGGAAAGCAATAAAAATAAGAAGCAAACACATCCAGGTTGTCCTTAAGCTTCACTTTTGCTTGTTTAGGAAGGACCGTGATTAAGAACATGTTTGTATTATGAGTATATTTAAATGTGGCAGCATTGCTCATGTTTCAGGTTGTTTACTCCCTCAGTTAGCAACTGTATTTAGTGATCTACGTTCCTGCAACGAAGCAGGCACGTGATGTCTTGGCCGGTAGGCTAACTTTTCCCAGCGCAACATCTGTAGCTAAAGCGTAGCTCTGGTGCTGCTGGAAACGTAACCCGACAGTTTGCAGTCATTTGGCATTTTCTCTTTGAGACTGTTGGTGGCAAACTGGGAATTAACTCTAAATCACGTGATCAGGCCCGATTTACAATCACGTTGTAGCTCTGTTGCCAGTTAAAGGTGCGCGTTCACCTACGTTGCTTCCAGTAGTCACCAAACTAGGGGGAGGGGCTTAAGGTGCAGTCCCTCCCTTTGCCTCTAGATGGTGCTGTCTGATAGAACGCCACATTTCTGCATAAAGGTTTTTCCTCATGGAAACGGGAGCAGAAAGTTGACCAGTCACAGAAGCTTTCTCCTCTTTATTCTTCTGTTTAATTAAATATATATCTATAAATGTTTTGCAGGAAATTTAACGTGGACCGTCAGTCATGCCTTTTCCTTTCGGGAAGTCTCAGAAGAATCCAGCTGAAATTGTGAGGAGTTTGAAAGAGAATGTCGCATACATGGAAAAGCTGGATTCTGGAGAGAGTAAAAAGTGTGAAAAGGTCTGACGTGGTTTCCTCTCTCTAGCACATAACCGGGACAGATGCATTTTAGTTTATTTAGCTTTGTGTGAGCTGACTTCCATTCCTGCTGTGTGTTTTAAGGTTGCAGAGGAGGTGTCCAAAAGTCTTGCCTCTTTAAAGGAAGTGCTTTGTGGAACAGGTGACAAGGAACCTCAAACCGAAGCTGTGGCTCAGCTTGCACAAGAGCTTTACAACACCAACCTTCTCATTGCACTCATTGCAAACCTGCAGAAGATTGATTTTGAGGTGAGGAAACTGTAATTGTCGTTTTAGTAGAAAGCGTCACATGATCCTGGGTGTGTGCCTTAAGCCAAAACATGTCCGTCTTTAATCCGTGCCGTTCTTCTGCAGGGTAAAAAGGATGTGGTTCATTTGTTCAGCAACATTGTGAGGCGTCAGATTGGCACTCGCACCCCCACAGTCGAATACATTTCTACACACCCAGAGATCCTCTTCATGCTTCTGAAAGGGTGAGTTTGGTGTCTGGAGACATGACCGTTCAGTCGAGTTGTCCACTTCTCTGTTGCAAAGCCGAGTTGAAGCTCAGAGGCAACCAAAGGGGTGAAAATGGAATTGGAAACTAAACTGATTTTATTGATGCGTTGAGATTGGAAACTATTCAGTTTCCTCAAACACGTTAGGTGGGTCTAACTTGGAGTGTGTGCACGTGAACATCTCCCAGAGGAACAAGCAGGAACTTGCTGTGTTCACCTGTGGGTTTCACGTGTAGATGGAGAGAAGATGCAGCAGCTCTGGTTTAACAGGAACCGTGTGTTCTCAGGCTGCCTCAGTCGGTCTCACGTCTCCCAGTTCTTCTAGTTTAAGACTTGAGATGAAAACCAACATCCCTAAACTTGTGCCCACCTGGAAGGATGCAGGTTTCTGCTCAGATCAGGCTCTGTTGGTTATTTTAGGGCTCCGTTCCTGTGCAGCTCTGTGTAGTTGGTCCCTGATGAGTGGTGATGACTTGGGCCTGATGTGTGTTAACCTGCACAGATACGAGAGTGCAGAGGTGGCTCTGAACTGCGGTATGATGCTGAGGGAGTGTCTGCGTCACGAGCCTCTGGCCAGAACCGTGCTCTTCTCTGAAGAGTTCTTCTGCTTCTTCCGTTATGTGGAGCTGTCGACCTTCGACATCGCCTCTGATGCCTTTGCCTCGTTTAAGGTAAACGTGTATTTTCATACGAAGTGCTGCTCTGACACTAGCCTCCATGTGAATCAGCCTTCTCCTTTCCCCTCTCAGGATCTTCTGACTAGACATAAGATTATGTGTGCGGATTTCCTGGAGAACAATTATGACAGGGTGAGTTTTGTAAAACGGACCTGTGTTCAGTCGGCTTCTTGTGTCTAATAAGCTTTTGAAACGTCCGTCAGGTGTTCACGGAGTACGAAAAGCTTCTGCATTCAGACAACTACGTAACCAAACGGCAGTCTTTGAAGGTACTCGCACTGAAACCAGACATCCATTAGAAACGCTTCCATGCTTTAGTCGTCTGCTCAGTGATAGAAATGTTGTTTTGATTTTTCAGCTGCTCGGGGAGCTTCTGCTGGACAGATACAACTTCACTGTCATGACAAAGTACATCAGCCGGGCAGAGAACCTGAAACTGATGATGAACCTGCTGAGGGACAACAGCCGCAACATCCAGTTTGAAGCCTTTCACGTCTTCAAGGTGAGCAGCAGGAACCCCACGCCAAAGCTGATCAACACCAGCAAGCACAAGATTGACTACGTTTACATGCAGCCAATATCCGGGTTATGATCGGGTTAAGGTCGGGATTCGGGTTTCTGAGTTGATCAGAATAACCCGTTTACAAGCATAAATAGAAAGAGTTACCCCTAACTTGCATAACCCGATGTAAATGCGGACGTTGGGGTAGTGTCAGGACGTGCGGACTACGTCCAGACGCAATATGCCTCATTTCCGGTTCTTCTCGTTCCGGTATCCGTGAAAACAACAACATGTTTCCCAGTTGGGAAGAGATAGCGACCGCGTTTGTTAGCGCTTTAGTTTCCTCGTCACTCCAAAAGTGTGGTGCTGTGCCGCGACTCGCCATGTTGCTCCCAACTTGTTGTTTACTTCCGGAGTTCTGGCGCATACAAGACGTCTCGCTACTCAAAAGACCAAGATTCCTTGCGAACAGAGCATGTGCAGAACACACGCTTTGATGGGGATATCCCGATATGCGTTTACACGACCAAACATTCGGGTTAGAAAAGGGTTACCCCAGGTGTAGTAACCGGGTTTTTAAAAACCCGGTTATGAGCATATCCGGGTTTCTGGCGGTGTTTACATGGACCTGCGGAACCGGGTTATTGTGAATATTCGGGTTTTAAAAGGGTTACTGGCTGCATGTAAACGCACTGTATGGCTGCAACTCTGCTACTTTTACCAATCCTGAGCTAAAGTCGGACTTGGTGGCTGAGCGCTATTAGCATCTCATCCTGGAGCGTTTACAATTCGTTTCTGTTTTAATGATTTCTCCAAGCATCAGCGGGTCACTTTGCTTTTTGAGTGGGGAAAAATCGGATTTGACCGTATAAAACAACAAACATAACTTTTTAAATTCATCCTGAGAAAGAGATTTTCACACGGAATAATGATGGTTTAGTTTTAAATTCAACAAGTGCCCCTACATCAGGAGTCTTTGCTTCAGACAGCACCGCCGTTAGCCCCACAATTTAAGGTAGTCTGAGAATTCACACCCCATAACATGTACCTAACTGCCAGCTGTTTCCTGGCCAGAAAAGCCCGTCGCTGCCAGCGTTTTTCAGTGTTTTCACCGTTTTTTATTAAGAGTCACAGAACGTTGCGCACTAGGATGATGCCAATGCCAAAAGTACCAAAATGAAGCAGAGACTCGCCTCTTACATCAGGAAGAATCCGCGTGTTTCGAGCGTTATCTATTCTTTCATAATCCGTTGTTGAATTGTGATCGGCAGAAGCTTTTCCGGTTCGCGCCTCACTTTTTTTACAGCAGCGGCCCAAAACGATCTCCTAACACATGGATGTTCTGCTTCCTGATCACGTGACGTATGTGGATGAAGATCGGCTTTAGAGCTGAGATGTTTGTTCTCACGGTGCGGGGGCTCGTCCGACGCCCACACAGTAAAAAATGCAAATGATGACTTTAGTCGTCATCTGAAATAATAAGAAACAGGATCTTTTTTCGGGCTCCCTCTGGGTGTGTAAGTTGAGGGCTTCAGGGGAGCACGACGGCCTTTCAGGAGAACTGGGTTCCCCTTAGCTATCCCGTAATTTGAACCCTGTATCAGAGTCCGGATCGGGAAGGAATGCCCGATCCCGATCGAGTCTGAAATCACGTGATCAGATCTGAACATACGAAGTTTCCAGACCAACCTGGAGATATAGTTCCTCTAGCAGATCTTGGGTCGACCCGGGCCTGAAACGCCTCCCCTGGGAGAATCTCAGCTGGCTCCTCTGGACGAGGAGGAGCAGCAGTGGTTCTACTCCGAGTTTCTCCTGGATGTGAGCTCCTCACCCTGTAATCTAAGGCTGAGCTCGAACATCTAACGAAGGAAACTTGGATTCACGATCTTGTTCTTTGGGTCGTGACCTGAGGTGAGGCTTTAGGACAAAGACGACCAGTGAAGTGAGTTTCACTTCCTGTCTTCGCTCCCTCTTCACTACAGACTGCTTCCTGTTCCCCTCTCCCTGACTTGTTTACAAATCCCTGAGATACTTAATCTCCTCTGCTTGAGGGAGGACCTCAGTCTACCTTTACCCATCCAGAACTAAGGCCTCGGATCTGGAGGTGCCAATCCTCATCCCAGATGTTAGCCATGCGTCTCTTCAAGAGTTGAAGGTCGTAGTTTGCTCAGAGGACCACGTCATCCGCAGAGATCAGAGCCACTAAACTCACGACTCACAAGCAAGTCACACATTAGCAGTTGTGAAAATGTTGTTGCAATGTGTTTTACTGTCTCTGTAATTTACCCACAATCCAGTTCTCCACAGCTAATCTACCCAGCCTTAGCCTAGATGGGCCAAACTCGAGTCTCATACCCGTCCATGTGTTCCTTTAAGGAATGCTCCGTTTTCCCTTGGTGTTGTGGAAGAGTCCTGATCTCGTTTTGTGTGTTTAAAGGTTTTCGTTGCAAATCCCCACAAGACTCAGCCTGTGCTCGACATCCTGCTGAAGAACCAGACCAAGCTGGTGGACTTCCTGAGCCACTTCCAGACAGACCGATCCGAGGACGAGCAGTTCTGCGATGAGAAGAACTATCTGGTCAAGCAGATCCGAGAACTGAAACGACCCACGACGACCGAGGAAGCTTAAGGCAGCGTGAATGTGGTGTTGAGGTGATGGTCCGAGCTGAGCGAGTCTCAAAACAACACGTTTTAATCCTTTTAAATAAAAGTTCATTTACTTTCTGATGTCAAGTGGATTTAGAGGTGATGGGCCCGAGTGGGTCAGGAACTGTTACACGTGTCGGAGTGCTTATTTAGTGAGAATAAAAACGCCTTTGCTCCGTTCCTGTCCCGATGGACCTTAAACTGTTCGCTTTCACCTACACGTTGCTGGTAAAATGTGTAGATTAGGAGAAGTTACCAGGAACAAAAACTCTGTGATGATCTCAACTTTTCAAGAATTTAATCTAAATTTTAGATGCAGAAAAGACAAAATATATTATTTTTCTAATGTATTTTCCGCACTCTAAATGCTTAAGTTAGCTTTATTATTTGCATTATTGTAAGTGTGTGTGTGTGTGTGTGTGTGTGTGTGTGTGTGTGTGTGTGTGTGCGTGCATGGGCTTATATGAGCTTTATAAGTAAGTCCTTGGCAGGGTGACATGGGGTTGTCTGATTGGCCAGGTCAGCACATTAGTGGTGAATGTTGCTTTGGTTGTGTGTGTGCATGCATGCGTGTGCACGTGTGCACTGCAGAGGTCAGATGTGACCCTGCAGTGCTGTACTTGCCAATGTATTAGCTGTCCCAGGAAGTGTAAATCAAAACCATTGAGGAATCGATGAGCTCTGTTGTGACCGTTGGGCCGCGCTCGGCGACACTTGCACGTCTGGAATAGAAACAGAGAATGGGATAACGCTGCAGGGTCCCACGTGCACAGCCAGACGATTGATCTGGCACCAAACACTCCATTTCTCTTTCACAAACTGAATAAACTTCTAGTAATTTAACAAAAGCATCCGCTCTGGTAAGATGACAAACAGCAATGCTGCGTAGTCGCAGTGGAGCGACACGGTGTTGAAGACCTCTAGTAGTGTGTTTAATCAGCACCGTTCTCATTTCCGCTACACTGGTCAAATACTTGGGTTGTTCCGTCTTTTCCGATTCGTTATAAATCTCCCGTCGTGTCTCAATATGGATGGGTCAAACGTCACAGCACTGGCCTGACTAGAGAGATGGGGACAGTGAAACACTTGAACCTGGTAGAGTTGGCGTTTGTCTGGATGGTGAGTGCTGGATCTGCTGACTTGTTTCAGTCTACTCATTTCAAACATTTGCTCTAGTTGCTGTCAGTGTCAGAATGAGGGATTTCACCATGTCTTCAGCACGTAGTCTTGAAGTGTATACCTCATGGGAGATTGCAGATGCTCTCCTCTTGCCTAGAGGATATATTTTACCGTGTTTTTAGGGCAGCAGGACGACGATGTGTGTTCAGACTTGACTGCAGCGTCATCTTCCATACTGAAAACCCAGATTTCTTTAGACTTAAACATTTCCTCGGTTGCAGCAACTTGTGTGTTAATTCATAGTGAATTGCAGCATGGCACCTTGTAATTACTGTTGCCTTATTTAAAGATGCCTAATCCATAGTGATGATCTGTTAAATCCTAGAACTCTTAAATTGTTGATAAGCCAAAGGCCAGATGTTGTTTTATGAAATGAGCAATAATTAGAAAAGATATTTGTTGTTGGGATTGTTTACGAAAATAAAATTTCAGGGCCTTTTTGATTCTATGCAATTTTTATAAAACCTCACTAATTTTACAATAACTAACATCCCCACAGGCTTCGGCTTCTTAAACTGAGTAAATGATCATAAAAAATATTCAAGCCTGACAGTAGTGTGATGATTGTTTATATTCCCAACACGTGTCCTGTATTTGTGTAAATATGTGCACCAACGTCCTAACATGCACTGGGAGGGATGTGTTGTTCACAGCCTGCCCAACAGAGGGCGCTGTTGGCCACAGCCTGCACCTTGTATTAGTTGTATAAATGAAAACATTTCTATATAACCCTACCTCCTGTTGGGCGGTTATACAATACTCGTCAGTAGTCGTGTTTCTTTTATTTTGCTTGAAAAATCTTAAAGGTGTGCAGTGATGAACTGGTACAAAAATGATTGGAATAAATTCAAATGAGCCTTAAAAAAACAACATTTTGTCATTTCTCTGGTCATATTTCTTGTAACATCGTTAAAGCTTGTAGTTCTCCAGGCTTTCTGAGACATTTCTCTGATTCATTGACTGGGCAACTAATTCATGACTGATATTGTTCCTTTTTGTGTGGTATCGTATGGTGAATACATGAAATGCCGTTCTGTGTTCCCAGTTCCTAAAAATTTGATCAAGATCCTCAGTATATCTGAAATTAAGCTCCAAACCATGACACAGCCTCTACTGTGCTTTTGGATGGGCTGTAATCTCTTTTCCCTGACCTCCACTGTACTTATTAACTGCTATTTGAACAAAAAGATTACATTTTAAATAATCATCCCATATATCCTGTTGCCATACATTTGTAACCTAGTTTTTGTCATGTTGACAACTTGGTCTTTAGTTTCCTTGATTTAAAAAGTGGCTGCTTCCAACAGAACAGAACAGGACTCGGCTCTGAGGATTTTTGTTTTGGTATGATTTCTTTGTTTGTTTGTTTTTTCCACATCATCTTTAGAGCATTTTACCCCTGAAGGACACCGTAGACCATGTTGAGATAAATCATGTTGGAACAAACACTGATTGACCTTTGACCAGTTTTAGAGATCCAGCTAAAGAAATGGGATCAAATGTTGGGATTTTGCTGCAGGATACTCGGAACAAGGTGTCCAAGGACAGGGTTGTACGAGACCGGTATCGTCACTCGTGCTGACCCAACACAGGTTCATCTTTTACGTTGAGCGTCTTCAGTTCTTAAAGGGTTGTAGATCGGCATTGAGGGCTTAACTAAAGCGAATAAACTAAAAGCCCTCTAAGTATGAGGATAAACCAAAAACAAATGACTAATTTTCTAAGAAAAAGCCTTTTTAGAAAGTCTGGAGAACTATATGAATGAAAACCATGTGAAAAAGTACAAAACTAGCTGGTTTATTGAAGGCAAAATAAAAAAGGGATGAGATAAATCCAGATTTTTGCACAGTTCTGTGAATCACTGACTATATTATGTAGACATCAGGTTAAAATCCTAATGGTCAATGCTATAAAATTATTATAAGGTTTGTGCTTTACTCTTATTTTTTACTTTGATGCCTTTTCTTTTTTTCCTTTCTCTTTCCGCACTGAATGTTTTATTTCCCCTGGGAGCAAATTATGTGTACATAACATTGAAAAATGAAAGCATTCATAAAATAAAGTGTTATTGCAGTTATTTGGTGTTGTGTGGATTTGTGGGTGATTTGTACCTCTTCTTGGAGTTGAGGGTTCATGTAGCCTAGCAGGCCATCCTGTAAAAGTGTATATACAGGCGCTGGTCATAAAATTAGAATGTCACGACTAAATAGTGTTATATGTAATTCCATTCAGAAAGTGTAACTTCAGCCATTCAAATATTTATTTAGTTAATGTTGACGATTATAACAGACATCTAATGAAAATCCCCAAAGGATACCAGTTAAGACCAATCCAAAAAAAGGACTTTTAGAAATGTTGACCAACTGAAAGTATGAACATCTACAGCACTCTGTACTTGGTTGGGGCTTCTTTGGCCGTATTACTGCAGCAATGCAGCGTGGCATGGAGTCCACCTGTCTGTGGAACTGCTCAGGTGTTAGGAGAGCCCTTGTTGCTCTGCGGCCTTCAGCTCTTCTGAATTGTTGCATATTCCCAATAGAAATCATAGAACTGGGATACCATGGTCCTTAACCCAGGCACTGGTAGCTTTGGCACTGTGTGTTGGAAGTCCTGTTGGAAAATGAAATCTGCATCTCCATAAAGTTGGTCAGCAGCAGGAAGCCTGAAGTGCTCTAAAACTTCCTGGTAGACGGCTACGTTGACCTGTGACCTCAGAAAACACAACGGACCATCGCCAGCAGATGACATGGCACCCCAAACCATCACTGATACTTTACACCGGACCTCAAGCAACATGGATTCTGTGCCTCTCCTCTTTTCCTCCAGTCACTGGGACCTTGATTTCCAAAGGAAATGCAAAATTTACTTTCATCAGAGAACATAACTTTTGGACTAGTCAACAGAAGTCCAGTCCTTTTTGTCTTTAGCCCAGATGAGACACTTCTGACGCTGTCTCTTGTTCAAGAGTGGCTTGACACAAGGAATGCGGCAGCTGAAACCCATATCTGTGCGTGGTGGTTCTTCAAGCACCAACTCCAGCTGCAGTCCACTCTTTGTGAATCTCCCCCTCATTTTTTTCTACAACATCTCATCCTTCCCTTTGCCTCTATATAGTAAAGGGGGACTAAGCAGTTTTGGCTTGCTTTTAGCACCCTCTAGTGTCCGTAGGTAGAACGACACCAAAGCCTATCTCCTCGCTGTGTGTTTGTCTTTGTAACACCTTAATGTGACAGCTGAAACATCTCCCAGCATTCCTTAGTGTCTACAGAAATGATTCATCACTAAGTTGAACAAATCAGCTATGATCTAAAACATGCAGGAAATGTGCTGGAAACAGACTGCAGCGCCAGGTATGTCAGCTCAGTTATTTCTAATTCCCAACAGAGCGGCCCACCAGACTAAAGGGGGAGGTTGGCCTTTCATTAACCAGTAGGGATTGTTTTAGCTCATACTGGCTAAAGACAATTATTTTAAAATAGGAAAAATTTGCAAAGTATCCCTTTAATGTGTTTGGACACAGAGCGTTGGGAACAGCCAGCCTCTTTAGCAATGACCTTTTGTGTCTAGCCCTCCTTGTGCAAGGTACCAATGGTCGTCTTTCGGGCAACTGTCAGGTCAGCAGTCTTCCCCATGATTGTGTAGCCTACAGAACTAGACTGAGAGACCATTTAAAGGCTTTTGAAGGTGTTATGAGTTAATTAGCTGATTAGAGCGTGGCACCAGGGCTCTTTAATATTGACCCTGTTCACAATATTCCAATATTCTGACATACTGAATATGGGATTTTCATTAGTGAAATATGTCAGCCTGTGTGTAAAAAATGAATATAATACAAAAGTTTCACATTGTACACCACTATCAATTACACTGAAATAGTTAACTACATTGAATTCTGTAGTTACTTATTATTCTAAATCTAACTCTGTGGCTAGGTTCCTGACAGGCACTAGATGTCGAGAGCACATTACCCCAGTGCTGACTGCTCTGCACTGGCTCCCGGTAAAATATCCAGCTCAGTTTAAAATCTTAACTCTCGTTCATAAGGCCCTCCAGGGCAGTGCCCCCTCTAACATTACTGCGCTTTTGAACAGGTATGCTCCATCTCGGTCTCTTCGCTCAGCCGAACAGGAACTTCTGGTGGTCCCCCGGTCGAAATTTCGATGGAGGGGATGTCGTGCTTTTTCTATTTTGGCTCCAACTCTGTGGAACGAATTGCCACTGAGCATTAGGCAGGCACCATCCCTTCACGTCTTTAAGTCTTGTTTAAAGACTCATTTTTATCTGATTGCATTTTAGCGCTAGGGTCACTTGAATTGCCCTAACATTATGGTTTTAACTATTCTTCTTTTTAACCCAGATGCTTGGTTTTATTTTGTCCGACATTTGTTTTTTATCGATTAGTCTTATTCCGATATCTCTTATCTGCAATAGTGTTTGCTTGATATTTTATGATTTTACGTTTTTATCCTGCTTTTATGCCCATGTACTGGGAATGTTTTTCTTTTAATGATGTTGTTCAGCACCTTGGGCTTCGGATAATGTTGTAGAAGGTGCTATACAAATAAAATTTGATTGATTGATTGATTGATTAACCAGAAGCAGCAAAAAGTATTTCTGAAGCATCCAGGGGTCGAATTCAGCAGAAAACACCCAATGTTTTCTTATGTCAGCAGAAATATGTCTGCTGACATAATAGCACTGTGAAAGTGATGATTTACATGAACTGGTGAGAATGTCTGGAGGTTGGAGCAGTTTTATGACCGCAGCAAGACACCTCAGAGTTGGCTTCTTTTGGACTAGCCCTTAGCTCATCAGTCCTGTTGATTATAATGTCCATTTCTCCAAACAGAGGCTGTTCAGGAAATCACAGCAGATCTGTGTATATATTTTTAACATTCATGTAAAACAAGTCTGCTTAAATAACAATTATAAAAGAGACTTATCATGCAACCCCCCCCCCCCCCCCCCCATTGTTTGGTTTTAGGAATTTTGTGGCTAAAACAAGCCAATTCAAAAAGTCTCTCTTTGTGATGTCACAAACTGGAAAAGTATAATACCTCTCACATGCCGAGTCCCTCCGCATATTGGAGCTTCTCATTTTATTGACCCTTTGCACGCCACTCATGGGACCGTCCCGTTCGCCATGACAGATGGCAAAAAGACCGTTTATACACTTTGAAACTCTGGTGAAGCTAGTCAAAACAACCCCGTCTGTAGCCTTTTATCGCTTTTACTTAGTTGGTTTCACAGTAAAATGGTAACAACTTGCTACGTGGCTGGCTGCACTAACAGTCAACTCGTTTTTTTTTTCAAATGACGTTGATCGAGACTGAGGACGGAGATGAACTGCAGCGATCAATCAAACGGACTAGCAGCCCTCAGGTTCACAGTGAACGTGTTTTTACCGGGTAAGATTAACGTTTATTTATTTCATGACGAAGACAGGGACAGGGACAAACGTGATGCGTTCTTCTGATGGATGGATAGATATTTCACCATGGAGTATGCGCACTGTAGTGAAATGTGAGATAATTGATTACAACATTGCTCCAATGTATGATTACATGTGTTAAAATTACGTCATTTAGTGCGAACGTCGAGAAATCTTGTCTCATCCCCGTGTGACAGCAGCAGCAAGAAACACTTGTAGGGATCCGGACATTTTTTAAACCAGCTTCGGTGTAAAGTGAAACATAATGTTATAAATCCAGTCGGGTGAATTTAGGCAAAGTAGGCAGCTTGTTTACATTGGTGAACAGCTGCAGAGAGAACTTAAGCTAACGTTCGTAAGCTAGTTAAAAACACTTAACTTTTGTAAATACCGCTCTCTTTGAGCCCCATGCGCTACTTCTGATAACTGAACATGGGCTTGAACTAGTAGAGGGAATGCTGAAGATCGCAAAAACTATTTCGGACTCTACTTTTCCCTTTGTTTAGTACTCGTGTCGCTCACTGATTACATGCTTTTGCCGTCCAGCATGGTGGACCCACGTGATTAGGTGACGTAGGTGCAAAGGGTCAATAGCAGCCAGAGTTGGTGATGGGTGGGCGTGGCCAGCTCCAGCTTGTTTTCATAAAGTGAGGGCGCCATGAAAAGGCTCATTCTGGAAGGTACAGAAACTGAAGAATACAACGACTAAATCCTTCACATAAAATTATATCAAAGGACTTCACAGACATGTTGTGTATTGACCATAGAACTATTATAACAAGAAAAAATACATATGTTCCCTTCAAAGCAAATCCTCTTCAAAAAGCAGGTGCAACTTAGACGGATTTTTTTAGTCATTTAAAAATGTAGCCTCAGCCTTTCCAAGGAAATAAACTACAGAGATCATTAACTTTGGTTATTCTTCGAAACACAACATGTTTTTTTTTGCTTAACTTTCTTTTTCTGAGCACGTCAAACCGTGAGAAGACCCAAAGGAAGACCCGGGACACGCTGGAGGGACTGTGTCTCACGGCTGGCCAGGGAACGCCTAGGATTCCCCCACAGGAGCTGGCCCAAGTGGTGGTCTGGAACCGGGAAGTCTGGGCTTCGCTGCTTAGGCTACTGCCCTGCGACCCAACCCGATAAGCGGCTGAAAATGGATGGATGTGTTTTTTAATTAAAGTAAAATTCTATAAGCTATAGTACTGCATATTTTATTGAGTGAAACTTCACCACACTGCTGTGCTCCCACCTCCATGCCTACCAGTGCTGCTCTCCTTTTCTCATAATAATACACAGCATTTGTTGGAGACTTTTCTCTTATTGTCCTGCAGACCACAGCTACAATCTCAACACCAAAACTCATGCATGTTTCAAAGCTTCCCTGTTTTTAGGGGAATGTCTTCAATGCCCACAAGGAAGAGCTTTGTGGAGCTCCAGAGGCCTTCGGGCATTTCAGATGATCCTTTGTAGCTCAACACAGATTTTATTCGTTCAACCCATCGGTTCAACCACATAATGACAAACATCTTTATCTAAATGTTACTATGAGATCAGGGCAGGATGAGATAAACGATCTCATCCGAATCCAGCAACCAAAACAGAAGCAGCATGGGAAAGTGGGTTAGAGTTCAGCCTGCAACGCTGCAGCTCTTTCCCACCGAGAAGGGGAGTGTCACCAGCCTGAGGGCTCCGAGGAGCTCCGACGCTGGTGGTACACATGGGGAGGGACGGGTGGGTGAGGGTCGTCCTCGTGTGGGTGGGGGGCAGGGTTTCCAACAGGGGTTACAGGTCACGAGCCTCATGGCTTTCCATGACCAGCAGCACACAACACTGGAGCGAGGTTTGCTGCTCCAACTCCTGTCGCCTCCGTATGTGGATGTCCTGTTTCCCTGGAGGACTCGGGCCTTGAGGACGATGCTGAAGTATCGACCCATTTCTTCGGAAGTAGGAGAGGATTTATGGATGGCACCCCTTCCTTTCTCGTCCCCACCCCCACACAGAGGAAAAACAGGAAAGATGCTCTCTTCATTTTATGCTTGAAAAAACACATTTTTGTCTCAACTAAAACGTGACAAAGATGCGTGATAGGGAGGAAGTGCGCTTCATCCATTCAAACTCCTCTCGGTACAAAGGTAGGCTCTGCTGCTTCTCTTCTAATTCAAAACCAACCGCACGACTTCATGCTAGCTTCTGCTGTTTGACTGAAACCCATTTTAGACTTGACTCAATTATTTTTAAACACCTTTTATTGTCTAACAGTTTTTTTCGTTATTATGAAGCAAAACCCAACATAATATATCACAGAGCTGCATGTATCCTAATTCTGTACCGTAAACCCTTAGTAACACGTACTAATACAACATCCGTGGCTAGTAGCGGTTGGGTGAATTATCTTACGTGATTTTTTGTTTTAGTTAGCTACCAAAGATACTTTTAAATTGAAGACGTGCACGCGCTCACGTCGTAGGCAGCCCCGTTGGCGCCATTTTTAAAACGGCTTTGGGCCTTTTCCGTACTCGGATGTAACACCTCAGCCTAAAAACAACAAAGGTCAGAGGAAATATGATCGTTTAAACTACATCATGGGCTTCATTTTTAATTATTAAGTAGAAACTCAGCCGAGAAACGTGCGGAAATTTCCCCCCAAACTTGCCTGACAGTCAAGACTCCGGGGAAACACTTGATTTTGGACTCAAATTGGTGAAAACAACAAATCTTTAATGAACTCTTACATTAGTAACAACCACAGCTTTTTACTAAAACCACACGTTTCGTTTTGTCCTGACCATTACAGCAAATTGTGCTTTTTGTGGTGAAAAGTGGACAAGTGGAGGGCGAAGGGTGTGGACTAAACTAATCTCGCCCAGTATACCGTTGTGTCTTTATCAAACAGCAAAGACCTGAAACAGGACCTGGGTGATGCTACTTTATTAGCATTCAGCCAGCATCACCCAACAGAATCACCTTGTTCGTATTAAATATGCATGTGTGAGTCCACAGGTTAAAAATCTAAATGAGCACTGATTAAAAAAAGCCACTCTGAAGCTTTTGGAGTAACTCATAAATGCACCCATGTTCTACAGAAGGCCTGTATTTGCAATTTAGTAGCCAGCAATAACTTTTAACTTGAGGATTTTGACCCTGGTTGAGAAAAGTGGACTAATCTCTTATCACAGTGCCTTTATCTCTATTCTACAGGAAGGACTACAGTTCCATAAGCTTGCAGAGCATGTCTTCATTCCCCACAGTGAATTTGTAACAGGATGAATTATTTATGTTTGTTTATCAGCTTTTGTCCTGTTTCAGATGTTCCTGCCTCCAACCGTGTTTCCTGGAGGAGCTGGAAGCCCTCTAGCTAAGGTGCATCTAGTGTAGTAAGTGAAGTATTTCAGCATCTACTGCCCTGGGTGCTCCTTCTGCCTGGAGGGCTTGGTTGTGTCACCACCTTTGACTGCGATTGCCCTGAAAACAACTGCAGTGAAAAGCCTCCAGCCTTCCAGCACGACTCTTAAATTGTGGCCTGTGTACTTTTTATTTCCTGATTGATTCTTTTTGGGGAGAAATAAAAGTTAAAAAGGTAAGAAATAGCTGTCTGATATTTATCACTGCGTGAAGATGTCCCTTTGAGCTGAACATGCCATCGACTCGGCAGCACAAAAGTGCTCACAGTGCAGGTAGGAAACTCTGAACTACTGCAGTTTGAGCACTTCAGGCGTTGCCTGTCACCTCCCACAGATGTCTCTGAAGCTGAGGTTATGGGGAGTTTTGTTGGTTTGCTCTCAGCTTCTCCCGGTGTTTGCTGTGCAAATCCACGCAAAGCTCTCTGCACCTCCGACGCACCACGTTGACTCTTGTTTTCTGCTACTCCCAGCTTTGAAGAAAGCTTGAAAGATTGGAAACGTCTGTCACTGTGGACTTGAGAAGCTGCTCTTTCTGTTTTTACTTTAGCTGTGATGTTTGTGAGATGTTGGCTCATCTTTTGAAGTAGTCATTTTATGACTGGTGAATCCAGAATTCCAGCACCTAATGTATTTGGACAGACTGCCCAGAATCCTGCTGATGCACCCACAAGTTGTGTATATTATGATTATTGCAGTTCAAAGAAAATGTTCTGTTCTAAGTAAAAACATTTGGATGCTGACATACAAACTGAACACTCGATGGCGCCATTTCAACTAGAATAGCTCAGGGAGATCAGCTTAAAATAAGCCAACAGCTTCAGATGAGACTGTTTATATAAACCTTTGCTTGATTTAGATGTTTAACTTGATTTGTGTATGCTTTATGGCTGAATAGCAACACACATATACACAAGGTTTATAGGTGTGTACATATAAAAGCATATATTATTGAAACTTATTGTACAGTACTAATATTTTTCCTGTAATATGAAGTTCTCTAAAATACTTTGGTTTCTGTTTAATGCAACATGCATCCAAAATTTGCCCAGTAAAGGAGACAATTGTCATTTTGGTCAAAGCCCAAGCTGCATGGTGGCACAGTTGGTAGCGCTTATCTAATTATTGTAAAAAGGCTGCAGGTTCAAAACCTGACGGTGGCTGTTTAGCGTGAAGTTAGCATGTAATCATGGGCTTTGGGTACATTGGTTTCCTCCCACAGACTGAAATTGCACATTTGTTTAGTTAGCTATTTCTGAATCCACAATTGTAAGTTGCTTTGGGTGAAAGTTTGATGTATATAAATGAAATAATGAAATATTCTTAGTAAGCATTAACAGATTCTGTTTTAGCTCAATATCTGTGAATTTTACAGTTATAGTTTTTGTGTTTACTAATGTAGATTTACATGAAGTGATTACCTTGAAATTTTATTAAAATAATGTAGTTGAATTATTTTAAAAGTGACTCTTTATTTCTACTGTACATTTCTAAGCCTTTTCACACTTAATTGAAACTGGATAAGGTTGAAAGCTTATTATTACATACATACATACATATATATATATATATATATATATAGAGAGAGAGAGAGAGAGAGAGAGAGAGAGAGAGAGAGAGAGAGAGAGAGAGAGAGAGAGAGAGAGAGAGAGAGAGAGAGAGAGAGAGAGAGAGAGAGAAGCTACGCTGCTTATACAAATAAAGGTTAATGGGCAAGGCTACCTTAAACCACAACAGTAAAATAATAGTTTTACCAGATAAATAAAGTTGAAGAAAGTGGAACACTTACATTATAGTGATGGGAGTGAATAGGGCTGGGCGAAATGGCCTAAAATCTATCACGATTTATGGAGGGTTTCACTTCGATAACGATAAATGAACGATAACTAGGTATGCGCAGAAACAAAAGTTGCCCACTAGATGGGGCTGACACGTGTATTACGTTGAATCACATTTTTACGTGGCTCCATGTGGCACAGCTTCTTAAAGGGACATAAGTGTTGCTGACTTACACATCTCTTCATTTTTTATAATCAAATTTATTGACATGCGAAAAATTATATAGACAAATGTCAGAAATAATGATAATGAAAAATTTTCGATATATTGCCCAGACCTAGGAGTGACTGTTGGCTACTATCACACTGAATGTTAGCTCATTAGCTGACGATTTCTGACCATTTTTGTGTTTACTTAGTATGGCTAAAGCCCAGCTTGGGTTAGGTACTCGGTCCTGGTTCCAACCCTCTTGTTAAACAAGTTGTGCGTGGAGATGATGTGACTTTTAACTATAACACTACATTTTAGCTTAGTATCTGTAAAACTGACCAAGGGTGATAGCCATTTTTGTTTTCTTGGGTCAGTTAGCTGCAGCAGCCATCTTGAGTAAGACTAATGATTCCAGTTTCGTTCGGTTTTCAGAAGTTAATTGATAGTTTGGCTTCAAAGAGTTGGTTATAACTGTGCTTTGCTAACACTGGTTAGCTGTAGCAGCCTTCTTGAATCTGGGCTGCACCAAAAGAGAATCAGTTAATCACACTTTTGTGTTCTGTTAGGGTTAGTGTGTCACGTGGTTCTTGAGATATGTTGCTAAAACCAGCATCAGGTATTCGTCGTCCCTGTTCTCACACACACACACACACACACACACACACACACACACACACACACACACACACACACACACACACACACACACACACACACGCACGCACACGCGCACACACACACGGTGAGACCGTCGCGCTACCGAGTCCAGCTCGTGTCGCGCGCATCCAGGGAGCGCGCGCTCATGCCTCCTGATCTCGTCCATCTGCGCAGAGCGGCGATGCGCTGCTGGAAGAAGAACCAAAAGCAGCACAGAAGTTGTTCCTGTCGGCGCAGCCTCACCAGGAGCAACCTTCCTCTCTAGCGGTGCGGTCGGTGGCGCGGACAAAGAGGAGGATGAGGACCCGAACAGAGCCCGGAGCGGTACCGTCCCATCCTCAGAGCAATCCCGGGTTCGTGCTGTAACTTTTTGAAGTTTCCCCTCAGCTTTCCAGCTGCTCCTGTCATCGTCGGCTCCCCTCAGCGTCCCGCCATGCTCGCGTTTTCAGTCCGCGGAGCGCTCTCCCTGTGCGCTCTCCTCCAGCTGTTCCCTCTTCCCGGCGGGCAGGTGCCGAACTGCCAGGAGGTGCGCACGGTCTTCCATTCCCTGCACCCCGGATCCAAGTGGGTCCCCGAAAACCCGGTTTCAGGTAACTCCCCAACACTCCTCTTCACAGTTCAAAGTGTATGTTCACACACACAGAGACACACACACTGGCTTTCCATACAAACACGCATTGGCGCACACTTTCAAAGCATCTCCCAAAATCTTTTGAGCCACCTCATTAAGAATGTAGGTGGGCTGCGCACAGATCAATAAGCTCAGCAATCGACCCAAACACGGAAGCAGACCAAGGTTTGTTCCTGCAGGTGTTTGTTTTACATTATTTTTATACTTCTTGGCACTATGGAGAGCAGAATCAGACATTTTCTCTCTTTGGACTAAACTCCCCAACATTGTCTCTCTCAGCTAGACAGATTAGCGATGTGGAGTTGTTTTCTCCTGGCTTCCTGAGTGCCCTGCTCATGAGGGACGAGAGAACCCTGCACTGTTCTGCAGAAAGCTCCCGAGCCTGTTGCATTCAGATTCCGTATGCAAATGTGGGAAAACCTCTCCTGTGGCTGACCAACAACCAGCTGCAAATGTTAATTGGGTGTTTTAGTGTCATGTCAGCACAGGGAAGTGCTGTAGGTTAACAGCTTTCTCTCCAGCCTCAGCAGGACTCTTCCAGAGAGGTTTAGAAAAAATAACAAATAAAAAAATATCCACTAACATGAAAGAGAGGAAACAAGTTCTACAAATCAAAGAGCAGGGAGGAAAGTGAGATGCACTTTGAAGCATGTTTAGTCACGCTTCGTCTTGTACGGTGCACGCAGATTTACCCTCTCTTCTCCTCACATCTACCAGTCACACACCTTCCTCCCGGTCCATCAGGGGTTTGATCAGGCAGCCAAAGGCTGAACGGAACATCGCAGCAGGCTTACAGAAATATGTAGCCTCCCTGAAGCCCAAGCAGAGTAGGTCAGGCTGTCTCAGGCTGTGTGTGTGTGTGTGTGTGTGCTGGAACATAAGAACAGAAATCAGCTCAACAAACAGTTTAAAAAGAGGCAAGTGTACCAGTTGTAGTCCCATCCATTTGATTATTAATCCTGCTGAGACACAAACTAAATAACACACAACCTCGTGCTCAGACCGACGCCATAAGCAGGACGTGTTCATTTCGTGAAGGTTGTGTGAGAGTGGCTCCGTCTGAGGCAGAATTCATGATAACTTTCTGTAATTATGACCTCAGGACCCATAAACCATAACAAGTACCGTCACAAGAAGCAGATTAGATAAACCTTTAGATTTTATTGTCTACTTCAGAGCTCTCAAAATCAATTTCACAAGGGTCCAAAATTAAAGGCACACTTGGCTGTTTTGGCTTGCTTCTAGCACCCCCTAGTGTCCTGTTAGTAAAACCAGAAGTGAAGCTTATCTCCTTGCTGTGCTTTGTCTTTTTAACACCTTAATCAAACAGCTGAAATGTCACCTCAGATTTCATTAGTGTCTAGAGGAGTGATTCATCACCAAATCAAACAAATCAGCTGTTCAGGATCTAAAACGTGCAGGAAATGTGATGGAGGCAGACTGCAGTGCCAGGCATGTCAGCTCCACTTACTATGTCCAACAGAGACTTGACCGACACTCTGAAGTTGCAAGTGCAATATTCTGGTCACAGAGGGTGGTGGTGCCTTAGTGTCTTTTTATTAAGCCTGTAAAGGGTCATTTTAGCATACTGTAAATCCTCTAATATTAGCCTGTATTTAATTAACTGCCGGGTATCATATTTTGGCCGGTGTCGGAGACTGCGGAGGTGAATAATGGCTGGTTTTTTATTGTGGCCGGGTGGAATGTGGTAACAAGCAAGTACGGGGGGCGGTTGTGTCATCCGTCTCACTTTTGATTAGCCAGTGATAGACCGCGAGGGTAACTTTAACCGTGCGGAGACGAAGAGGAGGCGAAAATTTGATATCAAGTTCAAAGAGAACGTGCTGATTATGCTGCAGAACACTCTGGGAGCAGTAGCAGGGGTTGTATGAACTAGTCACTAGTCGACTTCACCGCTGTTAAAACGGACATTTAACCAAATTGTGACGTTTACCCTCTTGCAATTTAACCTTCCCCTCACTCCATCCTAACCTCAACCAGCTTGCGCATGCAAAGCTCTGATTGTTGACGCGCTCCAGACATCTGCGTCCTGAGCACGGCCACAGTAACATTATCAAATCAGGTGTCGCCACCTCAAAAACTAATTTAACACGCGATCGTTCATGTCGGCTCATTTCCTTTTATGTTTTCTGTCTTTTATTCTTTTATTTGTGCCTGATGCTTTTCGCTGCTGTGGAGGGGGCGCATCACCTGTTTTGTCCTCGGTGACGCACCTCACTGATGTGGCCGGCGAGCACTCCGCTGTTTTAGCGGTCGGTAGATCTTTTAGAACTGCAGTTCAAAGGTAACTCATGAGGTGAATATATATGAACCCAGGTAGCAGTTTTTCTTTAGGATTGAGAGGAGATGCAGGAAGATAATAAACAGACAGGACAGAAAAATAGTCAAATAAAAACAAGTTAGCGTTTGTACCTGCTGGTTGCAACAAACAGACACCATTGAAGGTAATCAGAAGTGAGGAACAGAAAATGAAATAATTATTTTAATGTTTAGAGCAGCAGGAACTCCGAGAGGCTGCAGGCGCATCAGTGAGTTTGCGGCCGCTGCGCAGGGGGAGGGGAGAGAGGGCTGAAGCAGGGGGAGGGGGGAGAGGGCTGAAGCAGAAACTACCATTGTTAAAAGAAATGTGTTTAATTTGAAAATGTGGGCGCAATTTTAATTGTCAAAAACTCCAGCGAACCATTTGTTCATTTTGCTCAAATAGAAATAGAGGCCTGCCTCTAATACTGGCCCTCCTTCCAATAAAGACCTGGAGCTTGATGAGCTTGGGTCAAATACAGGCCCGGGCCTGTATTAGAGGATTTACGGTATACTGGCTTGAGAGAATCTGAAAACTTTAAATAGTGTCCCTTATAAAACCCAAAGGGCCACTTTTATCAGTTTTTTGAGAAAAAAAAATCTAAGTTTACCTGTTTTTCTATGGCAGCATATTACCATCAATGCGAGGGAAAAACAAGGGATCAGTATCTCGTAATAATGAGAAAGTTTCTCGTTTTTATGTGATATAAATCTCATTTTAACTAGAAAGTTTCTCATTTTTATGTGATATAAATCTCATTTTAACTAGAAAGTTTCTCGAAATAACTTGTTTAATAACTCGTAATAATGACAACGATTATAACGGTAAAACGGCGGTTATATGTTGTGGAGTTCAGCTCAGAATGAATGAGGCAGCTATTCCATTTCTTGATATTAAACCTTTAGGAAGTGCAGCAGCGCCACAACAACTGGGATAAAAGCGCCAAACAACGGTGCTTGAATCAAAAAATTACGCTTGTTAGATCTTTTCTCTGTGGACTCCGACAAACCCTGTTGCCAAGGCAACCGAATGACCCATATTCATACCAAGAAGTTGTGTTTTATTGTAGGCAAATAACAACATTAAAACACCTGCAGACTTCCCACACAGAAAGAACATGCTAGTGTAATATCAGGACATATATTTTATGCATATCGTTTGTGAATGGAAAAGAGTTTCAAAATTTTAAATGTGAAAAAGCACAAGCAGGAAGTCTACTTTTACTTTGAAAGCTGCACCTCAACTACAACCACAATACTGCTTTGACAAGAAATCTGAGTGAGGGTTCCTAGCAAACATTGTCACGACGGCAACATGGTGTCCACAGCCAAAAATTGTCGCGGTTGAATGTCTTAAATTTGTTAAAAACATGTAACAGAAAATTCCCTAAAAATCCATTCAGATATATTTTTACATGTCAACATTTACATGTATTATTGTTATTTGGACAATTAGTTACGTATATAGCATCCAGCAAATATTGGTCCAATGGTATGTCCACGGCCAAAAATGGCTTGGTAGGACGGCTTCAATTGGTGAAAATAAACTGTAACAGAAATGTTCCTAAAAATCCATTCTGATATATTTTCACATGTCTACAGTTACATGTACAACTGTTATTTTGACAATTAGTTACGTGAAGTTCAACGTAAAGCATCCCAGCAAATATTGTTCTGACGGCCAAAAGCTGTCGCCGTTGGACGGTTTAAATTGTTAAAGAATATGTAACTGAACATATTACCTGGTGTTACATTATTTCGACAATTTGTTATGTGGAGTTCGACATAGAGCATGTTGTGAATCAGTTGTAAGTTTACATCCACTGGGGGACTACTTTTACATGTCAAAGAGATGGCTCAACGGGCATCCGCCTCACAGGCTGATGACCCGGCTCAAATACAGGCTGGAACAAAACAGCGTAAATGTATTTTTTTTCTATTCCAGTAATGGTATTTTTTACAGTAATGATATATTTTTTACATTAATACGGTAATAAGAAGCCTACTTTTTAATTATTAAATGTCCAAATGAGACGCGCTGAAAGATGTTCATGTCACGACCAGAAAAGACGTCGGTTCAACTTTCATTTTGGATCCATTTTTCAACCATTTTCATAGTGGAGGACGATCTGACGAACATGTGGAGGAATATGTTCCTCTGGCTTATTGCTGCTCTTAAAAAGGCATAAATAGGTGCTTTCTGACTCTGTCGACTTTGTTTCTTCTGGACACGTTTCAAACACTCCGCGAGATGTCCGTGTTTCATCCTTTAGAGCTTTCTCATTATTACAAGATATGAAACACGCCATTTTGAGAAACTTTCTCATTAAAACAAGATTTATATCACCTTGTATTTAGAAAGTTTCACATTGTAATGAGAAAGTTTCACATTTTAACAAGAAGGTTTCTCGTTATTTTGAGATACTGATCCTTAATTTTTTTCCCCCTGCACTGACGGTAATACGCTTACGTATTTTCCAGATTTCTTACATCAAAACAGTTTTACAAAAATAGAAGGTATTATTTAAATATCAGACCACTCATATTTTACTGATTATTATTATTAGAATAGACTTTATTGATCCCACAGTGGGGAAATTAGCTTGTTACAGCAGCACCAACACTTAAGAGAATAATTAG